GGAGCATACAGGGACCGTAGTTGAGACAGGTATCAGTATCTCTTGTGGTCAGTCAGTATCCATGGGCGGGGCGGGGTCCTTACCTACTCCCTAAACCCTCCTCCCAACCGGCCTCCACAAATCGGCAAACATAGCATTTTACCATCGGGTACCACCTGGCAGGACAGCACGCCCCAGACTGTTACTACTGGAGTGTTGTTCATAAACGCGCTGATAATTACGATAAAAACTAACGAAAAAACTGAAAAACCCGAATGATTAAAACTTGCCCTCTTAATCAAATTCGGAATAATAGTTGGAATAGGGTTTCGGGGCATATTATAGTAGAGCTTCACTAAGGAACTGTACATACAAATCGTCGTAGTTATGTAGGCTCCTCTATTTCTCCAGGCCTGGGACTTTGGGCGGGGATCAACCTCTGCCCTGGTTGCTCCAAATCTGCCATTTTTTAATGCAAAGGTCTTCAAACCCCAAGGCCCCAAGGCCCCTAAACCCCAAGGCCCCTAAACGACTGATGGCTACAATAATATATTACTGCTACTACTATTATCATTACTAGTAGTTGTTATTCTTGTTCTGAAATTTTGCTATTGTTATCTGCTCTCCCCACCTTTTCGCGGCCAGGGCCAGACCAAAGGCAACCCCATCCGCCCAAGCGAGCCGAAGCTGTCGAGCAGCCAAGCCGCCGGGGTTTTTTGGGGGGGTTTTGGGCTGTTGGGTTCAGAGTTTAGGGCTGTAGGGCTTTAGGGGTTTAGGGGTTCAGGGTTCATTCAGGGTTTAAGGTTTTAGGGCTTTAGGGGTTTAGGGGTTTAGGGTTCAGGGTTTAGGGTTTAGGGTTCGGGCGTCAGGGCTGGAATTGGAAGGCTTTAGGGCTCGAGGGCCCTAAGGGAGCTTACCGGTCGTTTAGCTGCAGCTCCGTGGGGCCTAAGGTTTCATGTCGGGTTAGGAGTCAGGGTTTAGGGTTTTTGGGTTTAGGGTTTGGGGTTTAGGGTTTGGGGTTTAGGGTTTAGTGTTCGGAACTCAACAGATTTGTATGCATACACACAAAAACATCTGGGTCCCGGGGTCGGCGGGGCCAGTCAAACTGTGCTGGGTGGCTTTTCCTCCTGTTTCCGTTGCAGAGTGCGCATCTGCCGACGTCCAAACTCAAGATTGACAGTCAAACGATCACTGCACGGACCTAGGGCCCAATGTGCAGGTCGTGCCTGTCAAGCAACCCCTTGGCGCAGATCCGATCCCCTGCGGGGCTCTTCACTTCATGGACACAGGATTCACGAGTTCAGAGAATACGCAAAGCAGGAGTCTAAGACAAAAGGAGGGTGAAGATCAGAGGCATCCGCCTCTGATTGTGCGAGCACTACCTACCTACCTACCTACCTACCTACCTACCTACCTACATACCTACATACCTACATACATACATACATACATACATACATACATACATACATACATACATACATACATGGATACATACATGGATACATACATGTATACATACATGTATACATACATACATACATACATACATACATACATACATACGCACATACATACATACATACATACATACATACATGCATACATACACATATGTACATGCATACATTAAACATAAATATGGTTGCATGTACACAGATACATGTAGATGCAAATATGTACATGTGCGCATATGTACTTACATATGTAAGTACATACATGCGTACATACATACATGTGCACAGATATGCATATAGGCCCAATATAGGCGTGTATGCATATTCACACATCGCGTGTATACATACACACATACAAACGGATATGCGTATACAAATTTAGAGAGAGAGAGAGAGAGAGAGAGAGAGAGAGAAAGAGACAGGGATGCGTACAAACATATCTGTCTATCTACATATCTACATACAAGCAAGCAAGCAAGCAAGCAAGCAAGCAAGCAAGCAAGAAAGCAAGCAAGAAAGCAAGCAAGAAAGCAAGCAAGCAAGCAACCACATAAATGTGGGTACATGTATACATGTACACATGTATACATACAAACATAACATATGTACGCATGTAGGCGTGTATATATATATGTGCATGTATGTATGTATGTATGTATGTATGTATGCATATACGTATACACATACGCATGCCTCCTTACGCGTGTGTATTATATCTATGCGTGTCTGTGTATAGTTGTATAGTATTTTACCTATATATATATACACACATACATATATATATATATGTGTATATATATATATGTGTATGTATATATATATATGTGTGCATATATATATATATACATGTGTGTGTGTGTGTATATGTATTCATATTTATACTAATACATTTACACTTTTGTACAAACTTATTTATTTGTGTATAGCAAAGTACACATACGGGAGTAGCCAAAGACAACCAAAGATAGACCCAGACGCTCAGCTCAGGGTCACCCGCATAGGGGCCTGAATAATCATTACAGGGTTTTGGGGGTTGCTTGTTATATAATTATAGTATAATCGACCTATTAAGGCCCCTAGAGTAAGGATCTTCAGACCTTCAGAGCTCTGCTGGCATTTCCCGTCGAAGGGCCCCTGAAAGGGGCTCTACCCGGATCTGGCCCTCCCCACCTGAGCGCCAAACTGAAGAAGGTCCTCTTCTGTTAGATGGCTTAGTGAGCTGGGGGTTGGGAGTTTAGGGTTTTTTCCCTGGGTTTAGGGTTTAGGGGTTTAGGGGTTTAGGGGTTTAGAGGTTTAGGGGTTTAGGGAGGCTCTTTGGCTCCTGGCTCGCTACCAGATCTGTTCTTGGAGTGCAGTCTCACCCCAGGACAGGACCTTCGTTTTCAGAAGTTGCTCACTCCCCAACAGAATGTGCGTGAGAAGAGTGAAGACCTTTACGATTGCTGCAATCATGTCTAAGACGTCGATATGTATAGCTACTCTGAGCCCCACTAATGCCGCGCTACTACTATACATAGTTTCGCACCAGCAATGTCAGTCTGACTATGCTTACTATTGCCAATATCAGTGTTACTGCGTTAGAGGATGGCTTTTGAGGTTCAACGTCCATGCCCATTCTGTCTAGCACCGAATTACCCGGAAGTCAGGTCCAAAAACACACATCAGAAGCCACACACAGTGCAACCGATGCGCGGCAACAGACAGGCCCGGGTCGAGGAAAACACTTCGGGCTTCAGTCCAGCCTGAACGCAGCATGCGTCGCCTTTTGCGGGATTCTGGCTGCTGAAACGACTGCCCGAAAAACCTGGGCAGGCACAAAGCCTGTGTGAACCAGGCCTCACTTGCTTCGTTTCTGCGATGTCTCCTGAATCGCGCTTGGTGTTTAAGTTTGGGGTTCCCCCCCACGTAGCAGGCAAGCAAAATGATTGTCGACCGCTACGAAGGTTGACAAGCTCTGCCAGGACTTGCGCCACAAGGATCCCTAAACCCCGAAATCCGGGATCCGAGATCCTAAACCCACTTTACCCTAAACCCTAAACCCTGAACCCTAAACCCTCACTAAACCCTAAACCCACTTTACCCCAAACCCATGTAGGCCGTCCTGAACGTCTGGCTCAGGCATCGGTCGCTTGCCTCGCATCTCGAGGCTCCTCTGCTACATGTCCAGTATTTTGGGGGGTTCCTTATTGAAGTTATAGTATAATGGGCCCCACAACCCTATTCTAACAATTAAGGCCCCTAGGAGGCTAAAGGTCCAACATCTAAAGTATAGTATATACGTAAAATGTCATGTGTATGTATGTATGTGTGTGTATGTATATATATATATATACATACACATACATGTAGTATAACACGTGTCAGCCTTTGGGATTCTAGATGGATTATAGTACCCTGAAACGGGTTAACGGTTATTTATTCTACTACTAAGTCAGGCACCAGAAGTCGTTCGAGATCAGGGGAGGTAGGGTTGGGGTCGAGCTTTTGCAATTCAGGAGTCGGAGTTTGGGTCGAGGATTTATGATCGAGGGTTTGGGGTGTGGGGTTAAGGGGCTTTGGGTTAGGAAGTTTCCAGCGCTCTTACCTGTTGGTTCGCTTAGCAAGGGACTACGCCAGCACGGCATTACAAGTGCATGGCGGTTATAAGGCTTGGCCAAGCCCCTTTGTAAAAGATTTGGCGGCAGGGTCGTTTAGCTGCAAGCTATCGGGGGAATGGCGATCTCCGAGGCTTTGTTTGTCCTGAAACTATAGGGGAACCCACAAGTGCACATGAACCCTAAACCCTGGACCCCTAAATGATACCCAGCCAATGCCCACACGTGAATTTTGTGAACCGGAACATCCCTCCACAGGCTATGTCGACACTTTTCCATCCCCTGTGGCCCCTGAACCCTCAACCCTAAACCCTAGACCCTCACTCAAAGTGGGTCCTTGACGGTTGGATGTCGGGCCCCTGCTGTCGTCCGGTGCCGCTGCCTGCTTGTGAAACCGGGAGCCTCTGAAGCTTAGACGATGATCCGCGGCTTTTCACTCGTGTCCTTCGGAGTCTCCACGCCTCAAGGTTCTTGTTTCGAATGTGCTTATGTCATCCGCCTGCTAAAGCACCTCATAGTTCGCTTTTTGTGGTTGGCGGGGCTCTGTTGGTGCCACTCATGTTCAAGTGACCTCTTCATGGAAATACTTAGCAGAGCCAAGACATATAAGGCTTTGGGCCCATGGGTTAGGGCCTAGGGTTGCGTGCTTAGGGCCATCACCACATCTGCAACATGGCACGTCGCTGATGCAGTAGTAAAGTATAAATGTTCCCTCAAATCTCCTACTGCTCTCACCCGAAGCGACGGCCTGCACAAGAAAGAAACTTGAAATTGAGATGTTGTGGGAAGCGGTGGTATAAATTTCTTCTGCTTGGAGTCATTATTTGCTAGACGTACCCGGTGTTAACCTATTGTCAGCCTGCCTGCATCAAAAAAGATGTTGGTCAACAGGCAGTAGAAATTGATCTATCACAAACAGAGATCCTCAGCAAACTGCCTTGAAAAGCATCGGCTGATTGCGCCAAGCAGCGCAGCATGAAGAGATCAAACAAGGCTTGGTCATCGTAGTCGGCAATCCAGTCTTCAGCTCTGGTGACCTGGGTTTTGCCATGGAAAACCTGCAAATGCTATCCGATGCTGGCACGGGTGCATATGCACATCTGCAATTATTTTGTTGAGCCGTACTATTTTCTCGCAGTGTCCATGAGGCACGAGTTGCTCGAGAACAGTTATAAGCGATAACCAAGATCTAACCAAGATCGTTCCTCACATAATGCCTCTGCAGATCAAGCCCAGGCACTGTCAGTGAGGAGAGGTCCTGCTTGCGCTGCATGATCTTCTCCAAATTCTCTTCCTGGGCCGATTGTAGGCTCAGGGATCTTGAACTGGGATTGGGTGATGCGGCCTGTGCTTCTCCAAACCTGAACCGAACATGGACCGCGAAGTCATGGTGTGCGTTGGAAAAGGGACAATGGATCTCACGGTAAAGGATAGCACCGCGCATCCCGTCCAGCCGTGCATGTCTACTCTGAGCTAGGAATACTTCCTGAGCAAAGCCCGTAGGGCTCGACTTCCAGATTGGCCCAAGGCCAAGATGGCTCCGCCATCTGAGACCGATAACTCGGACTTCACTCGTGAAAAAACCGATGCAAAAGCCCTGAAGCTTATGGCACCGTAACCGGCCTGGGCACATCACACAGCAACTGCTGCGGCAATGCTCCCCAACGAGGGTCTCGCATGCCACAAGTAGGACGGGGCCCACTAGTCGGGGTTCAACGTGACTAATCTAGTGCTGCGGCGATAACTGCCACAATGGCTAGTGCCACCGTCAGAATTCCAAGTACGCATTGGGGCACCGCATGGCCAAACGCTCCTGAAGCGTAGGAGTAGCTTCCAAACCTTGACAGTCCCAAGACACGACATTTGCACCTGCAACTGATGGTCGAATAAAGGGCAATAGTTGCAGTATTTGCCTGCAGCCATGAACCCAGATCGATTATGTAATGACGCTGCAAGCTTCTCGACTTCTCAACAAAGGGGCCCCAACTTGATGAACTCCCATGTGGCTCAGTCTGTGCCAAGCTGCGTAGGTGCCCTCGGTAATGAGACGGTGGACGCAGACCTGAGCAGCGGGTGGCGTTTGCCCCGCGGGTGCCGCCGGCAGCAGGCAAGGATTCATTGGCCTTACAACTAGGCAGAATGATGTTCAATAGCATTGCCATTGAAAGGCAATTGCCATGAAGGAATACACCGGAACTCTGCCAGAACTGTGGTGTGCGATGCAAGCTTCAAACCGAAGTGGAATATGAACCGAAAACAAACGGGAGCAAACGCAAAGTTGCGGGAGTCACTGAAAAACCTACCGGTCCATTAGGCTAAGCTGACCATACAGCAAGCCAGATTGAAAACAAAATGTCTACCGGCACATGCCGCCTCAGCATACAACCATGACCGAGACCATCGGACAGCACCAATGCGGTTGCTGATATAAATCCTGCATTACCCACAATAAGAACTATCCATAATTCCCATAGTTCAGGGTCCTTAACATAATGCAGGATGTATATCATCAACAGTAGGAAGCACGTACACGAAGAGTCTAGGCTTCTGCAGTGCAATAGTGCGAGCGGGACTTCGCAAGTTGCCATCTAGCACGCTCTTACCAAGTGAACTTCCTCCAAGGCCTAGAAATCGTCGCCTATAAGGCCCTTAAAAGCCGTTAACCCTTCACCCATCTTACACTCTAAAGAATACAAGTATAGTTACAATATAGTATGATATACTATAATATATATATATATTAAAAGGAATCTGGGTCGCTGGCACTTTTCTGCTGGCCCAAGCGGTGGCACCTGTCGGTAGCCTTTCGGGCCACTGGGACTTGCAGGCGTTGGGCTTTTCAGTGGGATTCTTTATGGGCTGTTTCCTGAGCCCGGCTAGCATAGAAGCCTTCTCGAGGCCCGTACCCGAAAACAGGAGAAGAACTACGTCGGCACTTTATTTCCGATGCCTGGGCTTCCTTCGCGGGATTGTAACATCGATCGAAGTGGATCACGTGGTTGGCGGCGGTCAAGTTCAGGCCGATGCCTCCACACCTGAGCTGCAAGGATTCCGAAGGTGAGGTCTCACTAAGATGCAGAAAGCTCGCGCACGAATGCAAAGCTACCAGAGGGAAAGAGGCAAAGTAGAGATAAAACAAGCCGTGCAATCAGATGAACTAACCAAGGCAACAATGCGTCGTAAACACGCTCAACAAGCAACCGAATTCCGTTCGTGGAGAAGTACCCTGTGCCGACATACCCATGATGCTATAGTATACTATAGTATATCATAGTATAATTATAGTATATTATAGCATATTATAGTATCTTACAGTATATTATAGGTAATGTTGTCGAAGCGTCTCCGAGCAACGCCTACCTTCTGCCAAGACAGTGTTCGCATGGTCAACGTGGACGGCTCTGTCAAAAAAGTTTGCTTATTTTGGGAGAGGATAAACAAAATCCCGCGCTGGATTTGCTAGGCCTGCTAGGCCCTGCGAATGTCTTCATTATCCTCCCCTAACCTTGCTGATGGAGGAATGTTGCCTGACTACCATTACAGTACTGTATTTTGAATACCGGTGGCAGGCCGGGCAAACCAATGCACTGTCAATGTGCGGACGGCCTTGCGTCAATTTTGGCTATGTCCCTGCCTGGTCCAAAAAAGCCTTGGGCCCGCTCTGCTTCTGACTCTAGACCCACACGAACCCGGCATCTTGTGCAACATGCTGCAACAGTGCACAGTAGAAGGGGCCTTAATCATTACCTATACTATTTTGGGGGTTCCTTATTATAGTTGTAGTGAAATATACCCCCAAGCCCTGTTCTAATTGTCAATAGGGTCAAGATGCTGCAGCGTCATCAGCAGAATCTGACACCTGGAGTCTGTTTGGAAGCGCCTCTCCACCTGAGCGCGCTCCTGCGGAGGTGGCACAGCAGGTGTTTCGACATACCAGGGTTTTTTTGATGCGACTACTATAGTGGCTTAGTGATACAAAATCCGAATCTCCACGGTTAAGGAGTAGTGGTGGCAGTAGCGTCGTTTTTGTCATTGTAGCCGTACCCATGCTCGTAGAGGCGATTGTCGTAGTGGTAGTTTCTAGCGGCAGTGGTGCTGGTAGTAGTAGTCGTCGTCATCATCATAGTAGTAGCAGCAGCGCAGCAGCAGCAGCAGCAGCAGCAGCAGCAGCAGCAGCAGTAGTAGTAGTAGTACTACTACTACTACTACTACTACTACTACCACTACTACTACTACTACTACTACTACGACGCGACCGCTCACACCACCGAAGACGGCACGATCACCCTGACATCCCAGGCCACCTCGACCTCTTGAGGCGGCTCTCACACTAGCGGCTAGATGGCCCAAACCCTCACTCCTGATACATGAACGCTGCGAATGATTGCACAGAAATGGGATGTGCACATGACCCGGTTTATGGAGACGAGCAACATGAATTTTACCTGAGAAACCTCTTTGTGTCAGGGCCAGAATATTCGTACTCCCACCATGCGACTATACTTCTTGCTCAGGTTTGCTGTGCCTCCAAGGACAACTTGCCAGAGAAGGTCAAGATCTCGGTGTTGGCAAACTTGAGCTGAAGGAGCTTCTTCCTCAGCTGGTCTGGGCGCAAAGCAGCTCAAGGTTCATGGCAGTTACCATACTCATCCCAATCAAAGGCAGTAGATCTTGATCCTGTCACTGGCTTCAAAGTTCAACTCAATCAAAGGCCTGCAGGCGCCTTGCGTGGCTGTCGCAGGTGCGGCCCAGGCGCAGCAACTCGATGACATCGATGCGCGTCACGAAAATGACTGCCTTCTCCTCGGAGCAGCTAAGACTCGCAATCTAAGGAGGAAGAGGAGTGGGTCGGGCGAGACCAAAGGCCGCATCAATAAATTGGAGGGCCTTGAACCTGAGACTCTTTGAACCGGGCATCGTTTGCATCGAAGATCTCTTCGAGGAGGGACACCAATCTCTGGGTCTTCCCGCTGAGTTCAGCACGCTCCTGACCATGTCACACGCTAGGTTAGCACAAGTCTATGCCGATCGCATGTCGTCGTAAATGTTTCTTTGAGCTGTACTTGAACTGTCTACCTGCACCGGCCTCATCGTCAGCATCATCATGTGTCACCATGACCATCACCAACAGCATTCTAGACATCCCCAGTTTAGTCCAGAGCGGGCGATAACTTCTGCAGAAGACCCGACGAACCCCTCCAAGAAATGACATCTGTACAGGTCGTCGCTGTCTATCCCTCCCTTTCTTTCTCTCTCACACTCTCTCTCTGTCTGCATCTGTGCCTGTATGTATGCGACTGACTGTCTCTCCATATACAGCTAGCAATGACCATTTCCATTTTCTAACCATGCACCCCCCCCTAGCACCCCAAACCATAACAACCTATACCTCAACCCTAACCTCACCAAAAGACCCATAGGAATACCCCTAGGATGGAACCACCATAAGACCCACACCAAGATCCACATAGAAAAATCCCACCCTAAACCCCAT